CGAGTATGCGATACCATCGATCGGGCGGCGAATGTCAGTAGTAGACGTTGCACCTGCGTCGTCGGCAATCATGCGAGTGAGACTGGCGTCTAATCGCGGCCACCGACGTGGCGTTTAGACCCCGCGATATATAGATGTGTATCGTTGGCGAATCGACGCGTGCGACCGGCCCGCATAGCGATCCTCCTCCTCGCGTTTTAATCGTCAGCTTATCGGGACCGTTTGACAGGATAAACAAAAGCGCGCCCGCGTCCAGGCCGATCTGGACGAGCCGACGAGGTAATTTAGCGACCTACTCTTTCTCTCTCTCTCTCTCTCTCTCTCTCTCTCTCTCTCTCTCTCTCTCTCGGTTTGGATCATCGCGTCGCTGCCATGTAATATAGCGGCCGACTTCGCCAAACGTGGGGCGACGTGTTACCAACGGCGTTACGGCAACAAACCACGGCACTAAATCACCTTTGGCAGACCACGTGAACCCGTTCATCTCGTGCAGCGGCGGCCGGACGCAGCTGCCGCTAAAGTAAAGCGGTTAAAGATCCAATCTCTCTCGGGAAGAGAGCCCACGATACTCCTTCGGCGCGCTATAATATTCCGAGCAAAAAGATGCACGCGCGCGCGGTTGCGAGATCGTTCTCGCAAATAGCTCGAGAACTTGTAAAGCATCGCGACGATTCGCAAGCAACGACCGGAGGTCGCGTTCCATATTTTTTTTCCACCTGCATCTGTCGACAATTTAATCACGAATTTCTCGGATAATTAAAAATTCACCCATCTTTTTTTTGTCGTGATAAATACAGTAGAATGATAAAGTATCGTAAAACCCGATAAGAGAGTAATAATTGAATAAAACAAGAAAAAAAATTTGTAAAAAAAAGAAAATTCCTATCCTGTTTTATTCGTGATTTTTGTAAAGTTGTCAGATTTAAGTAGGCGACTATAGCTGTACTTAACACGTTGGGAACGTTACTTGCGGGACTATAAATCTACTTGGTGGCAAAAGAGGTGACTCTATTCTCGAAGTATAAGCGCTTGATACACACGCGGTAGTGAACGTCAGCAAGTTAATTCTGGTGTACGTATAAGACGTACACCAGAAATATATGCGTTTAAATATAATTATAATATATTTTTAGCACTTTTTATACATTCTCCCTTTCTCTCTCTCTATCTATCTATTATTGATTTATGGGATGTACAATCGTCTTATTGCGTTAGATGGTTATTAGCGGTAACACACAACGTGTTAGCCACGACGTAAAGTTCTAACTCGACCATGCTGGATGTAATAGAATCTAGTAGCAACTTGTATAATGTCGAGTCGGTAATGTCAAAAGGTTAACGTAAAGATCATCGGGATAGATCGAGACACGACTCCATGTTGCCTAGTTGCGTGTGTCTAGTTTGCCGAGCAAAAGAAAGTACAAACGCGCGCGATCAATAAGATGCATCGATCCGTTTAAAGTCGAGTACATATACATGCACATTTGAGAGCGCTGCATTCAAAATAAAAACAAAAATTATATATCTCCGTATATTTTATAAAAATTTAAATAATATCGAAAGAAATATGTCGCATGCGATTTTCATATATGTTGTAATTTGAGATAACGCACGAGAGCCTCGTAATCTTTTATAAAAGCAGAATTAAGTGGTCCTCTCCCTCTTTAGAGACGTTTTACGATCGGTACATGCACGTAATAGCCATAATCGTCGCATATATAATCCTGTATCTGAAAAGAACCTGCATTTTCTATCTCGTTAACGCGTGATACAGTGACATCCGTTTCTCAAGCAGACGCGATTTCAATTAGTATTATTTTGTTATTGCATTACTGAAAGAAAAATTTTAAAAGCCTCGAGATATATCGTCAAATATAGCTTATGTCACGATCTCTTGAGGGTTTATGATACACTGATTTACATTGTATAAAGAGAAAAAGAAATAATACTCTCCAAAAATTTGCATAAATATGAAAAATAAAAAAAGATATTGAAGATGGCAAAAGATAGGCCCATGCACGTGTGTTATATGTTTAAAGAAAGCTCGTGTGTATAATTGAACGTGAAAAATACCTTTAATGGCGTTGATACTCGTCGACGGGAGCGATAAAGTTTACCGACACGCACGTCACTGGTGTTATTAAACGAGCACCATTAAAAATATTTCTCACGTTGTCTATTAGGAAGAGATCGCAATTTTAGATATTTTTTTATTTTTTACATGACTGTTACTCTCGTTACGTATAGTGTCACAATTATTATTTCGCATTTAATAGAACCACCAACCGCGCATCGATGACGTTTCTCTTTAACAGATGATTCAGCTCGCATGAGTAAATCACATTGCAACCACTCATAGTTTTCGACATGCGATGTGTGGGCAGTCGAATCGAGCAACAACAACAATGACGAATAGCACATTGACCACTATTTTTAGCATATCTATATAAAGTATCGAATTTTTAAAATACTACTAAAACAAAATTATATTGTTGCCTCTCGATAGTATCGTTAGTATCTATAGCCACGCAGCCAATATTGCAAAAGTGACCATTATACGTGCACATCAGGTATATAAGAAGCAGTCGGCGAACCGACGACCGGTTGTCCGGATCTCGAACAAAATGGTTCGCGTGTCTTCCGCGCCAACCTGGCGAAATTTATTGCTTCATCGTGCTTTCGCACGATAGATTCGCGATACGCGCGCTCGTTCATCTTATCTCGCAGCGGATCGCGCGTTTGGAAATTATGCAAATTATTTTTCTCGACACACCGTATAAATATATATACTTCTCGACAACTCCATAAGCGAGGTTTCTCTAATTTATATATTTTAACTGCGACCGAGGTGTTGAACACGAGAATCGGGCATTTATTTTGTCATCACGATCGATAGTTTCAGCCCCTTAAAGAAAAAGAAAAAAAAATAAGCTCTAATTCAATTCGCACAAAGACGACATTACAAAGCTCATATCCGGGAGTAAACGAGACAGAAACGTGGATCATGCTTAATTCGATTCGCGAACCCGGGGACCAGGAGAGAAAGAGAGAGCTCATAGAATCGGTTTATCAGATCGTCGCTATTGAATCGCTCCATTAGAGGCGCATCTAATCGTGAGTCTCGACCCTGAGCGGAAAGAAAGGGTGGGAGAAACCACCCTCGTTTTTCGAGGACCGACTTTGACGGGACGCCCTGCGACAGACTGTGACATATTAGGCTACCCGCGCCCTCGCATCGTCAAAGGGGCATCATCCCCGGGCTATGAGGACCTCGTAAAGAGGGTTGAGTCCCGGATTTATTGTTTCGCGATTTCGGCGGACGTGGGAGCGAAATCTGTTCGCGGTTGGTCTCTCTTCGGCGCGAGTCTACAAACATAAATATATTATCGTCGCGGAAAGATTACCAGAGCGATCGCCGGAGATGGCCGGCCAGAAGCGGTTAATGTTTGCGAGCACGCGAGTGGATGCTTACCGTCGCGCCTGTCAGCGATTTTATCGCCGCGACGGAAGTTCGAGTAATCGTTGACTGTCGGTGCGTGAGTTACGCTGTTACGACCACGTGATGTGTATACGGAGGCTACGTTTAAAAACGTACTAATAAACAACCAAGATTCATCGGGCATATTGAAATTTCGGAGTTATCTCGGAATTATCAGAGCCAGGATGAAAAAGAACATCACGCGCGGCGTATTAAAATAACAATATTTCACGATACGTCGTACGATATCGTAGTCAAAATCTCTACTTTAACGTCGTTCTCGAAAGCGAGATTAAATATTACAAGAGAAAAGACGCCGCCTCTTGGCGGATGATTATCCTAATAGATGATAAAGAGCTTCGTAAATAAGCATAAATAAACGCGAGGAGTCACGCATCTTAGTCCTTCCCCTTATACAAAAAAAAAAATCGTAAATGAGCACAGAAACGTTCCCTCGATTCTCGAGGACGCGCCATAAATCGTAGCGTCCTTTCGCGGGAGCCGGAGACTTGGTTTTCCTAATTCATTGGCGGATGTCGCACTGGAATAGAACACGCCGAGAGAGTGCTTCGTCCGATCTGTAAATCTAACGGGGGGTCGTTACGCAATGCGCGGAGAGGATAATTCGTCACCTCGGGGTACATCGAGCGCGATAGAGATACCGAAATGCAAATTGTCCCATGGTACACGTATAACGAGCAGAGTGAAACTTGATGGAAAATCGAAGCCGTCATGTCTCCCTTCCTAGTTTTGACCGGTCGCGCTAGTTTCTCTCGCCTTTGCTCATTTTACGCACAAGATACGATCTCTTCGAGTCTATCGATTCCACGAAAATAGAGGCGAGGCATGCTGGTGTAATGTTGTAACGCCTCGAGATCTATTTTTCATGTTGCTTTTTACAGCCGCGCACTTTCCTTTCTAGAACCGCGTAAATTGCGTTTTAATCAATTATGTTGGAATCATATGATCCAGCAGATCCTGAGAGAAAATATTAAAACCGACGTGCGCGAGCTATATATATGTATATAGGCTTATGATGAATGAGCAGAAATTTATATCAACTGTGTTAAAACGCAGTACAATTAATTATGGAGAAATAGAGGCGTCTGTTTAGACATGCGTATTTATAATTTTTTTTTCTTCCATTATAAGAATCGAGTATTAAAATCTATATTACATTTTAATATAACGCGCGTTTGTGTGCGATACGAGCGCGAGATGAGAACAAGACAGCTATATTGTGGGTTAAATGCGCGGTGAAAACACGAGTCATAATCTTTAAACTCCCGTCGGATGTTCCATTTGACTTGTCGTTCGTAAAGCGTTACGAGTTATCGATACACAACATCCAGTCATTAATCATGCACGCTTCGTTACTCGAAACAAGCTTCTCTTATTTTCGTAATTTATTATGCGGGGTCGCGTTACGGGTAGAAAAGACGAGAACGTCAGAGAAAGAAACAAGCCATCACGGATTTATTTCTGACTTGACGAGTATATTCGTCTCTATCTTCTGTTTCAGATATACGTTTCTATCTCGGAACAATTCAGCGCCGGTGTGAAGTGAAATAATTTCTCGAACGCGAGGAGGTTCCTGCGAAGAGCTGCTCGTCGGTCTGGTAAGTTATCATTACATGTAACGATTACGCCGGCGATTTCTAAAAGCAGCGCGATACTATTCTCTCGAGTTAGCGACTTGTCGCGCACTAAACTCGGAGGTGCGATTATTTATTACACGCGCGTCGTCGTGCGAGAGAAAAACGCGATTTAATATCGAATTCGCCGCGTTCCACCGTAATAATACCGCCGGCCAATTATTATTATCCTGGCCATTACTCAAAAGTCGTTGGTTCCTCTTTCGCACGCGAGTCGCACGCAACGAAACGCGTGTTTTTACGTGTATCTGTACCCGAGGCGGTCCACAGAGAATGCGACGAGTATTATACATCTGCATGCTAAAAGTGGAAAATCGCGGCCGGCGATTCTTCTTCACGTGCTGCGGAATATGCCGGAAGTCATCGTCAGAAATCCCGGAAGGGGTCGTCGGCCGGGCTCTACGCGCGAAAAGATCTTTAAATTGCCCCGAAAGAGAACGACGCTAAATACGGCTCGTCGACCGGCGAACAGAAATGCGTCCGAATATTCGTCACGCGAGCGTTTTTCATTTCTTCCTTCCTCGTCGGGTTTGTCAGGCCGCTCCGCGCCAAGTGTGGAAATCGAGGGTTCGCCAGATTAACGTTTCGGACGAGAACCCAGATTGCGGGCCCGATTTTTACCCTGTGCTCGTGTACAGTGACGGCTAAAAGTTTGTCTCGACGATGGAACATTATACCGAATATTCGTCTTGGTCTCGTTGAAATATGTATAATAGATTTTTTTTTAAATAATACATTGAAAATGCTCCGATACATCAAAATCGGGTTTGACAAGAATTAAGAACCAGGCGCACATATTGAGCGCAGCAAAATTATTTTTAAATTTTTTAATTATTTTGAATGCTTCTCTGATCCAAAGAAAAGACCAGATTTTGATTTTTTTTTTTTTTTTTTTTTTTTTTTTACAAAGATTCGGATTATGTATTAATAACATATGATCTTACAATTAAATGCGATTTCCGTGAGAGTAAATATTTAAAACATTACAAAAGAATCGAAGGAATTTTTAAAAAGATCTTGAAAATACTTGATTGAAATGTTCAAACTTGTATTAATTTGTTCAAATTAAAAAACTTATTTCTGCGAAGAAAATTTGTAATGGAAACATCAATACAATTTATATATTTGTAAAATAAAAATCTAGATTTTCTCGATTTTGTTAAATCGAAAGCGAGGGTGGCGAGCGGGCGCAAAACGCGCAGTCGAAGGACCGATAAATCATCGCCGGACGCGTCGGTCCCGTCAGTGTTTTGGTTTCGACGCCGCGGGGAAAAAAGCGCCCCGTGGGGACGCTCTTTATCCCGTGGACCGAGAGCCGAGAGGGCGGCATCGCCGGATAAAGGATACAGGCGTTCGCGTCCCGCCGAGCATCGTTGGTGCCCCGTCATTCATCGCGCTCTTTTCAACGAGCGTCCACGATCCGTTCCGTGGTAACGATTACTACTCGCATGTATCAACTGCTAATGCGTCAAGCGCCACGCGAAGAGCTCATGCTCGCCGCACGATATTTACAGGTGTGTTTACAATAGTTTAAATACCATCGTCGACGCGATAGGTGACAGCTATCATAAGCGTATAACAATTGTTCCATTTCGGGATACAAGATCTATGTCATACCTTGCATTATGCTTATCTTACTTGCCAATAATTATTCAGTTGGCGAAAATTTAATCTTCCGCGAAGATGATAATAGGTACAAAAGTGCATAAAATTATGAATCAAGAGAGATAATAGTCTTGAGAGAAATATCAAACATTTTTATTTGATGTACCACATATTTAATTAGGAATTCATAAAGCGAAGAATATCGAGATCGTTAACAGTCGTTCTGCGGATACAATACAAGTGTGTTAGTATAATCATGTGTCAACAAGAATATTATTCATTTCTCGCGCTATTCGATCGTACGATTGTACTTACAATCGATCGATAGGAATAATGGGCGGTCTCGTGATATCGATATCGATATAACCGAGAGGAAAGAACGCGTTCTGTCGACGGCTAAAATTCGCAAGTCGCGTCGCGCGTTATCGCCTCGAGCAAAGATATACTCTATTGTTTCAGCGATAAAAAAAAAGTTGGTGCACCTAAATAGAATCGCAGCAAAAGAGAAAGAGGGGGAGTCGTTAATAATCGTCCTCCACTTTACTCGAGTGGTGCACGTTAAAGCCTCGAGGTGTCGACCGCAGATCGAGTATTGTTCGTCCTTTCCCATCATGGGTCCCGCGGTGAATGACGCTGCTCGGCGATGATACGTCACGATAATGGCCGGTAATTCGACGTACCATCGTCGGGGCTCGTGCGCGCCTCTAGGAGGAATATATTGTTTCGCAGCGCGATGGGAGTAGAGAGAAGTCTTGGCTTTTCAATTATCGGACCTTGGAGCGATACGATGATGGCCGGCGGAAGGCACGTATAAACCCCCGGTGCAAGCCGCTGCACGCGGCCGATAAACCCACACGCACGGGCGTATCTACGCCAAATTGCAGGTTCGATCGAGCCGAGCTCGTATGTATACGATGTGCAACCAACGGTATACGTAAGGGTACACAAACGCGCGTGGGGGGATCGATCTCGCGAGAGTGATCGGTATATCTCGTATATGTATTGTATTTATATTCGGCAAAATTTCGTTAAAGCGATCTCTCTCTCTCTCTCTCTCTCTTTCTCCATGATTATCGTTTATCTCGCAAAACTGCTTTATGTATATTGAATAATCTCCTCTTTTTCCCCTTGCGAAACACACCTGTAATTTTTATTGAATTATTTTTTTTTAAATCTTTATCAGCGGCATAAAGTATCCACTTTACAAGACTATTACATATTGGCTTCATAAAAATTTCAAGTAGAAAGAGAAAGGTCGGTTGTGGACTTTCCACAAGTGTGTTCCCTTTGCCAGTATCTGCTTCTGACTTCCTATATATAATAAAATATCGTATATACGGGTGGATTTCTCTTGTATCGCATGATTTATCGATATAATTTAATACTAGCGTGACTCTAATATTTTCTTATAGAAAAACGCACTATCTCACAACTGTTTCAATCTAACACTGATGATATAGTTAAACGAATCGTAATACTCAATCTGCGTCATGTAACAGCTCAGTTTTCTCATCGTGACACCTTGGCCAAAATATTTTACGCGAATTTTCACTTTTTCCGAAATAAAATTGAAAAAAAGATCTCGCGATGCGAGAAACGCGGACGTGTACGAGGTTTCGATCAATAACGTAACTATCGATCGTAGATTAACTTCCGCGGCGTTTTTTAAATCGATTCACTTTGCAGATACGGCGCTGTTAATCGAAGCCGGGAAAGCAAAGATGAAGGGTAATGGCGAGTATCGTGTTGCGCGACCGGTTTCGCGAAAGGCTCACACGAGCCTTCTAATACGTTGAAACGCATAAATCATCCGTACATAGACGGACTTTGAAAAAGCGATAAATATATCGCCCCGTGTAATATGTTCTAGCCTGCAATTTCGCACACAATTTATGTCTCTCTGAAATATATAAGCGAGAGATGCCCCAATCGAGAGTCGAGAGACCTCATCTATCGCATATTTCTCTCGGTGTGTGTTGTGCTTAAGATCGATTATACTTTCGGACCACGTTTTTTCACCCTCGGCTCATTTTATATAAACTCCGCACGACGTTTCGACATATTCGGAATAATCGACATTGCGAATTATGTAACTGGTATACATAACGATATTACCCTTCTTTATCTCTCTTTCTAAAACTCCAGCTGTTGCCGATCGAACGTGCTAATTTTCTCGTGCAATATCCAATATGCGAAAAAAATTATCACCACCCTATATTCGTCGTTTATTTACTCGACGCGGCTGTTTTCTCAAATACTCGTCGAATCTATGATCAAATTCGATATTACAGTTATTCGACTTATGCGTGCATATACACATAAGTTTTTAATGCAAACCCATTGCGCTTATACGCCCATACGCAAATTACAGCCGGCTGTTTTTTTGTTTCTTTTTTTTCGCATCGCTCCTTTTTTTCCGGGAGTAAAAGGGCGATCGCGCGACGCGTCCACGTCTCGACGCTTAAACGATACCGAAATCAATCGATCATACGTAATAACGGTTTCCTAAAGACGACTTTTCACAGACCGCCACCCGGCGGCCATGTTGTCTCCCCGCACATCTGCCAGTCCTCGGACCCCGGCGAGCTGAACGAGCTGTACGAGCTGAGCGAGCTTTCGAAAGGGTGTTTACACGTCGCGAGTTACGATGTGCTCGACGAAAATAATTCATTAGGGTACGGTTCCGTCACGTTGGGCGTGACAGAGGGGAGACTACGAGAGAGGCGACGAGAGAGCGACTACCCGGTATCCATCGAATGATTTTCCGCAGATAAAACTTTACTCAATATCAGACTAAAAGAGCCGTTAAAATTTCCGCATAGAAATGCACGCGTAAGATTTTTTTTATTAAACAAAAATAAATTTTAATTTTAAATTAGCTCGAGATTCTATTGAATTCGCTCTCTGATAGAAAAAGCAACCTATTCTATGAAATGCAAAGCGAAATCCGGACGCTCGTGGTCTCCCTTAAGATACTTATAAAAGGACTCGGTGGTCGACCAGAAGAGCCGGCGATGCATCGCGTGTTTCGCAAGAGCAGACGTTGCGGTCGTTTAAGGAAATAGTGCCTCGTCTCTTCTCCTTCTCTCGCTCTTAAATAGTACAAATTAGGACGACATCCTTGTGTGGCATCCGGTGCTTCAGGTAAATCCTCTTAGGTCACGTAAAAAGCCCTCCGTTTCGCTCCCGACCGGCGAACGATGGCAACGGGGGATGCATTTTTCTGCAACACGGCCGTTCGCAGTCCATTGTAGCTCTTGAAAATGTCAACGGAACGTCGCTTAAAGGGACAAACGAATCAGATTATCGGATTACCGGTGTGGCAGCCCGAGAGGGAACGTCGAGGGTACTCGAGAGGGCACTCGAGATCGACGCGCGGACGATGTCGTGCAAAATATTGACAGGTGTCAACTACATTTCGCTATTGGTGGACACACGAGCACGGAATCGCATAAAGAGCTCGAGGATATATACATACGCGAGGACATTCCCCTTCGCACATTCGTGTCAATCGTGTCCTTTTAGCGACGACAAATACGTATAATAGGTGGACAAAATCCACACGATCAATTCAAAATGTATATCATTTAAGTAAGCATCTTTTAATACATATAATCGCTTTCCTTACGTGCGTATTGAACTTTTTAAATATTTTACGCGAGATTGGACCGAGAGTGAAGCGGAAGTGGCGTAGCCCGTTGAAAATAGAGGTATTATGTCAACGAAGAAAGCGACGGGGCGCGGCGGAGTCGTTCGTGAATTAATAACAACGGTTCCAGGCATATCCCGGACTTTGTCTCGATCGAAGCATTAATTGTTAATGTTACGACGGAATCGATCGCTAGAAAAAACCGACCATCGTTGTATCGCGACGAGTAGCTCATAGCGTGACACGTTTGCCAGTTTCCCGCGGATTCGCGTCTTTTCAGCGTAGCGTGCCGACGTATAACTTTACGAAGAAAACTCTCTCCTCAAGTTTGTAGGTAGTTTTATGTATAGCTTCAACGCGTGACGAGAGCGATGGTTCAACGTGTGCCGTTTTGCGTGTGCCACGTTTATTAATGCATGACATTGGAGCAGTAAGAAGATAACGTATCTTTATACTTTCTTATAAATATATACTTTACGTATTTTTTTCTATATCTTCCTTTTTTTTACGTATATCGTAGTTAAATAAATTTCATCACACTGCCGATTTTGTGTATTGCAAAATTTAATAGAAATTTTATTATCTCTCAAAATAACATATAATGTTCGAAATACAAACAACAAAAGTGCTTTGAAAAAAAGTTTACGATCGAACTCGTCGTACGTCGAAACGATATAGGGAGAATTGCTGACATCCTCATTCAGTCGTCATGTGTACGTGCGTGTATAAACGAGGCAAATTAAACTCTATTCCTCTCGTTCGCGTCAAGTCGAGCGTATCAATCGCAATCGAAGATCGCGTCCATTCACGAACGCGTCGTCAAGGAGTTCGACGGTCCTTTAAGGGCAAACCCCCATTGATGATACAAGAGACTCGGGGTGAGACTCGGGCGAGAGAAAGAAACAAAGAGACGAGACCCTTACGTGAACGCGAGTATCTTCTTATTGGCGGGATCGGGTGACGAAAGGAAGTAGGCATCGCGTTTCCATCCCACGCATCCTGTCAAGTGGATTCCACCGGCGTACAAAGGAGATCGGACAAATAATTGGCTCCTCGGATGCACAGGTAGGAGCAGTCCTTTTGAGCCCTTGAGAACCTTGCGCAAGGACCATTGTACGAGGGACACTCGATACATTCGGATCGAGTGGCTCGACACCGGGGCGAAAGAACGCGCGATCCAAGTTTGGAAAAACGGGACGATTTATTTCGATGAAACACCCGGTCGCATCACAAAAGTATGTATTTTTTCGCGAGTTCGAATAAATACTTGAATAAGTGAAGGGGAGAATTTTTTAAAAATTTCTCCCGGAATAGATTGTCTTCCGCAATTCTTCAGCTTCGTTTTACTCTGGCAAATTGTCGGATCTAATAGAAGCACCGCTGCTCTCCTGGATCCCCCGATGTCGCCTATGAATAATCACGCGCGATGCAAAAACGACTGGTGACGACGTCCAGCCAGCCATGAGAACGACGCGAAAACAGGTTCGCCCATCGTTGCGCGAGCGATCGAGGAATTAAGTTGGAGAGAGTATACCGAGAAACAAATAGCGAATCAACATGGAGGATCGGGAATAACGAGATGCCGCAAAAAAGGGCCGGACCGGAAGCCGGGGTCGGTCGGGATCCAAAGGACGATCCTCTCGAGCGCCCGCGCAATGTCCACATACGCGACTTTTCGCCGACATTAATATTCGAGACGCGGGCGCACACAGGAAACTTTCTGCCTGACTTAATTAATACTCGCGCGCGCTCGCCCCTTCCTTTTTGACGGCAGGGATTTAATTACTTTTTTACGTCGACTCGTAAATCATCTCGCGGGGCCCGCAAGGCGACCGCCGTCGTCCTTCCTGCCGAGTCATAAAATAAAGAGCTTCTCGAGCGAACATGTGTTACCCGGCTACGCTCGCAAAAGCCGAAGAGATACATCGAGAGCTTATCATTGTCAGATTATCTCGGATATTCCTCTGATCCGTAGTGCGATCTATAATATATGGCGAATCCCCGATACGGTTATAAAGGCCGTGCTTGACATGAGAACCTCATCTAAACTTTGCTGCAAACTTTTTTTTCGCCTTTATTCGCAGAATCTAAGATTCACGCTGACTGATCAGCGATCGGACTTGATTATTTCTTTTTATTTATGTAAAGCATAGATTTTTTAAATGTGCGAATATCTTTGAATCTTTATCTCTAATCGATTACAAGATACATCTCAAAAGTTTTTCAATCCCGAAGAGTATATACGCTGAAGAGTAGAAAATCTCTCCTCCTTCACTTCAGATCACTTGTTGACACTTTCAACATTAATTACTCTTGCCTCATAAGGAATATTCGTTAAAGGTTATTTCGCTTATATAAATAGGACACGTTTTAAAAACTTGTCATTTACGAAATGCTTGGTATTTTCAACAGGTTTCTGTTTTTTACTTTCTTATTTTATCTCAAACGTAACTTTAATATTTATTAGATGAGGTAGAAGGATTTTTTAATAATAATAATTGAATAAAATACATCTTTCCGATTAAAATAATAAATAATATAGTTAATTAAGACAGTATATATTATAGTGTCAAGAGTCAAGAGTAATTGCATTCTACGTCAAGTAATTATTTAATAAAATTTCAAATAACGACGTGTAATTGAAAATTAGTGCGTATTATTTTATGAAATAATTATTAATATTATGATTATGATTAGTCTTTCTATTCTGTTATTAAACGCATGTAGAGACAAATAGTTCTCGGTTTAGAGATAGTATTTGCTACGATGCATTAGATTATAAATAATTATCGCATCATATAAATAATTAAATATCGTGTACTATAGATACTAATCTTTTATCTTTCATTTCTAATCATAGTGCATGTAGGAATAAAAAAACATTAGCGTATAATTATGTATTAAATAAATTATTTCTCTTATTCGCGTTCCGACACGGATGATCGAATTGTTGATAAATAATAATGGCAAAGCAATTTATTTACTAATATCCACGGCTGTGTACGACATTCATTTTAAATTACCACGCAATATATATATATTTATTCACAATTCATTTTCCGTTTATCTCAAACGCAACTTGAATATTTTCCTCCATGGCGTATAAAATATATTTGAAGACGAAATCGACTAGCAAATCGGTGTCAACCGACGCTTTAAATGCCTCGACGTTCAAAAGGATTCTCGAGACACATCTTTGTAAAAATCTCGGTGATGTTATCGAAGGTGTGAAGAGTCCGACGGTAGCGGTCAGTCCTCGACATAGTCGATACGTCCTCCTATACCTGTCAGGCTTAAGATCTCTATCCAGGGATGCCTAGATGAAATTCGACCTCCCTTTGAAAAGATAATTGTCGTTCTAACTCGACTGGGGAATTAATCCGCCGCGACGGGGGTTCCTCCTTTTCATAGCAACGTGCGTCAAAAAGCCTTTTTCTCGCGCGGCGACGGTATACAAATTCGCAAAGTGTCACACTTGTAAAATTTACATGCCGATAATAGAGGAGCGGACTTTTCTTTTTCTATACGCGCTCCGACGAGGGTAGAAAGAGGACGGCAGATCCACGGAAGATGATCACAGACGACGTTGAGAATAAAAACAAGATAAGCGAAGACTCACCACGTGACCGTGCACCGGCGACTTCGCGATCGACTGTAGCTGGGGATAGAGTTGATGACCAGCCGCTGCCGGTGTCATGTCGGTCAGCATCTCGACGCCCGACTTCGAGGGTGATCCCGCGGGATCTGGCACACCGCGGGTTCAAAATCACACGGAACCAAAGTCTCTCGTCTCTTTTCCCTCGTTCGAGCTTCTTCTCCGTTCGCGCACTGTGCACTCGAGATTGATCACGGTACCGATATATACTATGATATACTCTCGCGCGGAGCTTCTCCGTCGCTCGGGGTAAAAAAGTCGTCCCGTGGAAGAGGTGTCCGGGGTTAACCGTGTGTGTGGTTCCCGTTCTTCGCCCCGTGACAGACTGCCGACCGGTCGAACGACTCGGTCTCGATCAGACGGGGATATGCATGTGGTAGGGAAGAGCACCGCGTCCCAGGACGAGCCCCCGGGCAAAAAAGGGGCTTGGTCTGCTGGGGCGGGTTTCCTGTAGGAATCCGTTGCCGCCCATCACCGCCTACGAACCGGTACCCCAGTTTCCTCGACTTTATTTATACCTCTCCCTCCCCTCGTTTCAGCGATCTCCTCGCGAGATTCCCTCTCCGATGCCCGTGTACACGGTCTCGGTTCCATCGGACCGCTTCCTCGACCAGCTCTCTGTCGCGTTGGCGATCCCCTCCGCGAGGGTTCCCTACTCCGATATAATTCAGCTTCGAAATGCGCGCGCAACTCGTCGTCCGTCGTCGTCGTGTTGGAAGGGGCACCAGATGACTTTGGTAGTGTCCTCTCGTATAGAAGGGATTCTCCACGTTCGGCCTCCTCTCTCCCACCTTCTCGTTTACCCTCGCGCGTTTCCTTCCCCTTTCGTCGCTTTACGTGACCCGGAGTCGTATCGGTGCGCGAGAGCTTCTCGCAGTTTGACATAACGGTATACATACCACGCGCCGTCGTTATTTAAATACCGATACGACGATCGTGAGACTCGTATAGGATGTATCGTGTAGGACGTAGCGTGAAAATTCTTTATCGGAAATTCTTCGCACGAGACACACACGCGATCGAGATCGAATGTGCGTGCGCGTGTGTTCCGGGCGAAAGAGAGCCAGAGGGATGAACGAAGACGATCTTGGGTATATTAACCCCTTTTGTCGCGAGGGGAGACGCGTTTCAGATTCGCTACGCAATATATATAGCGTTTGACGACCATTCCGCTTCTAATCACTTTTTAAATGTTCCAGACTGCTCGTTCGGGATTATCCTTAATGCGTCGCGCGTTCAGGAAATTACATGCAAATTGTTTCGTATACGACTACCTTTCCCGCGATCGTGCTCTTAATGGGCTTTTATTTCTGTCGCTGATGTAAATAAAGTAAGATACGCGAGGATTGAATTTTATAGCGAAAGCTTGAGAGAACATTTTTTTCTCTATTAACTGTCATTTACGATAGTATATCTTTCGATTATAATTTTTATATAATTTTGCATCTTACGTTCGTATATCGTCTTCTTTAAATTATGTATGATTCTATATATTTTCACAAACGTAATCTCTGTCGCAGATATACGTATACGTATATTTGCGAAGAAAAATGTGTGTTATTTGAGAGTATGGTTTGTTGTTATTGCAATGAGATATTGAAATATATTTTAGTATATGGTATGATGCACGAAATTTATATACATGAAAATTTCACAAAATTATTTATAGAGAACTGTATTATTTTATAAATATATTATATACAGTACTCTTCTGATGATACACAAGTTATAAGTACACAGGGGAATAGAGTTCTTTGCACTCTCTTCTTTTTCTTTTTTGTTAACATTTTGTTAACACAAAAATGGATATTTTTATAAAATTTCTAAAAAAATTTGATTAACTTTGTAAGTAATTATATATTTGCATTTTACAATAATGATTTAACATATTAAACGAGCAAATCTAAATATATTGCACAAAAAAATACAATATAAATTTCAAGATTCATTTGCTTCAAATTTAGATTTATAACCAGTAGATTTTGATTAGTTTCATTTGTAAGCTAATAATTTGTGTCTTTTTAAGACTCATATTGATATGCAGTTCTTAACATTATTAGCAATGATATAAAGTTACTACACATATATATAATCATCCTTATTTAATTTTAATGTGCTCACATTTTGCTTCATTTTCTTGTTTGCGTTTTTATATAGATCGAATCTATCGTATATGGATATTAATTATATGCAAGAATATATAATTGTATCGTCATTAGACTATCGTATCTTTTCTACGACACGTAACAAATGATACGAGTTTTATAATTTATTTTGATCTCATTGCATCATACTTGATGTATTTGTATCCCGGCAACGTTTGACGCATACTACTCGTTTTGTGTGCATTCACGCGTTAACTTGTTACAACATAATTTTACAAGCACATTTCAAACTCGCGTTATAACTATAATAAATAATAATATATTTTCTTGGTATGCATTATGGACAATTATGCGTAGTCGATATTTATACATCTAACTGCGCACTGTGATGTATAACAGTCGATGACATTATCATTAATAATAATATTATAAATTATAAATGAATGATTTTAATTTGACGATCGTATCATAGATTATACTTTGAAAACATATATCAGTGTCTTAGCGAACACAAATGAAATAAACACATTTACGAATGCACAGCAAGGTATCTAATATATAGTTAACTTAAATATTTGCATACATTTTTTATGCCATACGCAAATTGAAATTATCATTATGACATTTATCACGTTGATCTTAGCTTTAGTTTCATCGAACGAGTAATATTACTCGCAAAAAATGAGATAATAGCGACTTTAAGTTGCTCGTACTTATTTTGCGAAACGAGCGGCATGGCTTATAAACGCAGAGAGACGTTCTTGAGTGCAGCTGTACGAGCACCTATTAAAATTGTAACGTAAGGAATTACCTAAGGAGGACCGCGAAAACGCGAAAGAACCTAATGCGATTTTAATCGCGCGGTTTGAATTTCAAATGTTAAATTCATATATATATATATCGACTTCGTCTTGTAAAGCGGAACATGGTCGAAGAAATATATTCTCAATGGCGTATTCGTGCGAATAAGGTCTTTAAAAAAAGATCTTTCTTAAAAAGAGAGAGAGAGAGAGAGAGCAGTACTTCTTTATATTATAAATTTTATTTAAAAAATTTAAAAACAGCGATTCATCTTGATTTTGTATACGCGAATTGCCGATACAAAGATATTTATATTTATACTTAACGACAAAAAATTACATATAATATTTGATATAATCTATGTATAATTATTTCTAGAAATATGTGTGCATCTTAGTTCTGTAATTAACTGTGTTTGATTATATTTTTTACATAGAGATAAGTTTTGTCATCAATAATACAAGAGAATTAAAGCGACAATTGTCATTAGGCTACCGCGTGCTTTCTCTTCGTCACGTAGCAAATAATACGAGCCGCTTTATAGCGGTGCGTCGTGATTGTGATTAAACCGTGCCCATAAAACCGCATCGTAAGAAGTTAGCAACCGGCTGCTAAGAATTTTATAATTGGTATAATTTGTAGCCGGACTTGTCTTAAAAATGTAACGCGGAAGATCAAACGTACCAACGGTAATTTAATTTTGCCGCTAACAAACCTCATCCCCACCGAGAGTTCGTTTATATAAGTCGTGAAATTTAAATGTATATAAATACTTAAAAAATACGCATACATCATAAAAGAGAGCCCTTGCAGTTTTTCGCTATATAGAAGCTCGTTTTACCTTTCTACGCCAATGCGCGGTGGAGACGCGAGCGACGGGTCGAGGTCGCATTAGGACCTAATTTTCCATAATGGAAGAAGTCCGTGGCGTGGTACGGCGCCACTACGGCGAGGAGACCGGCTAATCGTGGTCCATTCATAACCATTCTCGGCCAGCCGAGCGCGCAACGATCGCTCCAGTCCCAATCGAGATTCTCGCGCGGGCAATTTAGACACGATATCTCAAATAGAGCCTGGTGACATGTCACGAAGTTTGCCGGAAAAGAGTGGAAGTATAGAAAAAGGTCATTCAGTAGCGGACGCTTGACATTTCTTTGAAGCATGAATAAAGAAAATAGAGAGTAAAATAAAACAAATATTAGATTATTTTTGTATTTCAAAAATCTTACAAGTATTTTTCATTCAAAATGTTTACTGTTTTTTTCATTATAACAATAAGTATAATAAATATATGCTTTACTTGATTTATAAATTTTTGTAATCAAATTCAAGTGTCACTCTTAAAATTATTATAAAGCTACAGAAATAAAAATGTCCTTCCATATATATTACTATCACAAAGTTTTATCTAATGACTATTATAAGTATCCGCTGTTTAATGACAGCAACGAGATCTGGCCAAAATAAAATTCTTTTTACACATGATAAAGTACGCGCACTAATCATATAGTATATCATTTAGTTTGAATATATTTTATTTAACATATTTGATCCTTTCTCTTGAAATCGCTCATCGAATAAGATAGATGACAAACAAATGTAATAACATTAATGCGCGCACTTCTGTCATGTTCTGAACAAATTACATCGATATACCGTCCATTACAAAGCAACCATCTGGTCATTGACGTGATTTCGTATCATCCCATGGTACCCCGAAGATAGACGCGTCCGAGTAATCGATAGACCGATGAGAGAGGTGAGAAAGGAATAGGTTCGCGGAACGAGAAGGGACCCACACCGTTATCGGGGCCGCCACCGGCCACGAAATCCTGGCGATTATGCGTACATCGCGTGCCACCGGCGCACAAAAGGTGCGACCCGCCCACGCCCTTGCGTATCGCGGAGTAGGACGAGAAAGGAGGAAGAGACCAGGAGGAGGGGGGGGGGAGGAAAGAGGGTGCGAGAAAAGGGATGTTTTACAATGAACCGAACCAAAGACGGGCGTTAACGCTCGCGGCAAGGACAAATGGCGTGTTGGTCGTGTGCTAGTAGCTATCGAGTTTCCCCGAGTTTTCGGATATCCTCGCACAAGAGAAGCCGTTTCTTTGGATATTTATTGCGGCCGCCAAAAAAGAGCCGCGCGAAGATGAATCGTTTCGTCCTGGATATTAACGGCGCGGTGATGCCGGGTCTTCGCCTTAATCCGACATTAATGTATGTATATTCCGCGTTGTCGAGAAATTGATTAGCGTCGATCGACTACCGATCGTGACGCGTCCTCGATGATGATCGAACGCCGATGAATCGACGCCGGCCTACCCGGGATCTTTCGATGATGGATCGTTGATTGGCAGAGACGGGCCATGGGGTTGAAAGGGAAATGGGGCCTAGGGGCCTCACGGGGGCGGATAATGACAGGGCGGCCTCGCGTAGCGAAGATGGTCCGCGCTTGGGACCCAGCGCTCTCGGCTCTTTCTCTCTCACACGGCCATGTGGCCATCGGGAGATGCTGATGGACTAATAATTACCAAGGAACCAGCTCCGTCGTGCGTGGCGGCTGGAGCGTCGAAAATGAAGATTCACCTTACAAAGTTGCAGCCGAATCTTGTCTACTATCTGCTAAAACGTGCGTTAAGCCTTTGCCGAAATTGCGCCGAAGGA